TCTGATTATAAAGTTTCTTCATAGTTGCAAGCCTCCTTAAAACATCATTTGTTATAGCATTCATTCCATATAAAAGGGAATACATTGCCTAAAAGTCAAACACTTATCTTTATTTCCAATGTTATTTTTCAATCCCTTAGTACCTTATACAGCTTCCTATGAACCTTTGAATTTCTGATGCACTTTCTATTATCTGTTATTATATTGCCCAGATAGTTGAATTTACACACTTGCTTGATTTTACCACCCCTAACATATCTTGGGCTAGTCCCTTCACTCACAACTATGTATTCTGTCTTCTTTCTTACAATTAATGGTTAGTCACCTTACTTTCATAGACTAGCTTATCTAATAATTGTTTTATTTTTATTTTTGAATATACTGTCAACAGTGTGTAAGGTTACATCTACTGATAATAAATCCTGGTAAGTCCTCTAATTCTCTTAGAACCATCTTGCTGTAAAGATTAAATAAAAATAAGACCAATGAGAAAATATATTCTTGTCACACTCCTCTTTCTATTTTGGTGTATTCCAGTCATTCACTACTTGGATGCAAGCCATTCGTTGCAACTGATATCAAATAATAATAAAACACTGCAATTTTTTTTATAAAAATTCCTGTTTAGAAATGACTTTACTTACAATTCTACAGACATGTTAAAAAGAAAAACAAAAAAAAAGTAATAATAGAAGTTATCTTAATTTTTTAAAATATTCAAATACCAGCCTATCTATCTTAGACATTCTTTTTTTTTTTGGGGGGGGGGTTCTTTAATTGGTTAGTATTTTTTAATTGTTAAATATTAACTTTTTTATATTATCATAACCACCTCACAAATTAAATAAAAATAAAAGCCATAGTAAATATCATCTTGTATTGGACCTAGAAATGACATACAAGTTTTACTTTAAGGACAATTCTTTTGTATTTGATTGTAAACAAACTTTCATGAGCGACTGACCCATGATTTCGATGTGAATTAAAATAACTAATGATTACTATTGGTATTAAAAGCAATGAAAAATTAACTAATGTCAAAGAAATGTAATAATTTTAATCTATTTTTTTTTTAAATGCGTGCTACTGCTAATGATGAAATTAAGAAAATCATTTTGAAAAAAAAATCAGCAAACAATATGAATAATGGCAAAAGAAGACAAGAGTGATGCGTCATCTGTTGTGTTATTTATGGTTGAAATGTAGAGACAATAATTGTGAAAGTGAAGATTACTATTTTTTAACGTGAAAAAAATTAAACTAAACAGAACCAATAGAAATTATTTTCGTTGTGTTTAATTATCTCTTAATACCTTTTTAGTAAAAACGTAAAAAATAACGAATGAAACTTTAATAGAGATTATTATTAAATAGAGAAAATTGGCGCAATAACAAAAGATGCGAGTGTTTTGATTTTATTTTTATCCATTGTGAGTTTCTGTTATGACTCATTGCTCTTCTTAACTTAACATACACAATGTTTAGACTACATATGCAATTCATTTACATATCTCTACACACACAAATACTCATCACATGTAAAAATACAACACATTCACTATTAGATAAATTCAAATTGATTTAGCGGTAATTAACACCAGTTATGTCAGAGTTTGCAAAGTATATAATTACCAGATAAATAAATAAGAATAAAAATTTAATTATCTCTGTAATATGGACAACAAATAGAAAGAAAATGTTCCATCTGGAAAGAATAGTTGCTTTCCATATCAATCTTACATCGTAATGTAGCCATTATTATTCTAGGCTGTCTGAATCATAGTAAATATGCAGAACAACACACATGGATTTTTTAGCGATAAAATAAATCACTATCGATAATGTGTCTTGGTAACTCAGATGATACTTAATTGTTTATAACAGTATAATTAATAATTACTTCAAAAAGAAAATAGTTAAATAAAATTACTTTTTCTTTTTACTTTCGTTTTCAATCATCGTTCTTTCTTCGAACAAAATGGAAGATTGTTTATTTTAGAGACGAACACTTCGGACCACCAACCTAATCATTTATCAATATGAAAAAAGTGGTAAAGTCGCTACACCGAGAACAGGGCGCTGTAACGAACAATAATAGTGCATTTTATTAAGGAAAGAGGGATATTGTGAGCAGTTAGCTATATTTTTATTATATACTCCACTCACTTCCAATGTACTGAAAAACGTAAGAGTGTTTTAAGAATTTGTTTTCATTTACTGTTTTGATAGTTACTTTTTTTGCTCAACTTTAAAAATTCTGAACAGTAACACTAACAGAAAACACTAAATGTTAAAAATTTGACTTGAAATGATATAGATAGACATTCATTAAAAAACTTAAGCATACGAGTTTTGCAGAAAAAACATACTGAAGCACTTTTTAAATTTACTATCTGTAACATTATAAAATAAAATAGGTAAAGTCCAGTTAACTAACACATTTTCTTTTTTATGTAAGATCAAATTAAAAAAAAACAATTATCTGTATAAACAATAACATACATAGAGAGGGGGGATAAAGAATGTGTGTGTGCAGAATAAAGTGCAAGAAATATTTTAACAGTGCAAACGAAGAGAGCTCCAAACCAACGTAATTAATTCAAATAAAAAAATCTCTTTTGTGACAGATAATCAAGGGAAACAATTACGTTTACATTTAAAATAATTATCATTACTACTCACTCAACAATAAAAATTATTTGTAATCTAATATTCGATCGTAATTTATAACCGAGAGAAAATTATTAGAATTAAGAAAAAGGTTTTTTTTTTATATATTTATATATTCATTTAAAAATGATGTCAACTTTGTAAGTAACTGTTAAAGTTTGAATTTAAAATATAATCGCTTTTTATATCTAATTCTTCTTACCCAACTCAACAAAAAGAGAAATGGATGGAGTCAAGGTAATTTGTCATAATACTGCTTCTTCAATGCAATGATGAAGAATACAACCGGTATCTAAATCGCTAAAAATATTAATAAATTTTAAAACCTATTTCCACGTAAAAAATATGGTAAAATTTTAAATAAGTATTTTTTTTATTTTAATTAATGAAATGAGTTTATGTCATAAAAACACGTCTTCATATTTTGAAACGGAATTGTAATTAGGTGACGTTTGAAAATTCCTTTAAAAATCTCGTTTTTTATAAGCATTTTTTGCCCAAGTGACTCAAAAGAACTGATGATTAGTATTATTTTCATATCGCTCACAACACAATTTTGTAATGTTCGTAAGCGGACAGAAGCCACTGCATTGTAATAAAAATGGTAACAAGGGATTTTCAAACTGCTGATTTTTAAAATACAGTATGATAAATAAAATATTTAAAAAAAGGAAACCAAAAGCTTCCATAGGTTTTTAATTCGTTATTTTTGTTAATTTTTATTTAGATTTTTTCAGCATAATGATAAAAAAAGAACAAAAATACAATCTAACCTCCCTTCAAATACAAATTCTCTCTCTGCTGACTTATTTAGTTTTCCATTATTCTAAGCAAAAACAAAAATAGGTAAAATTTAAAAATAAATTTTAAGTGGGCCATTTGACAAGCTCATTTTATTTAGATTAAAATAAATACTAATAATTGAAATTATATGAGAAGTATTTTAGAATAAAAGAAAAAAGTATGTATTCAAGATAAAATTAAGATGTGGATGAAGATGCGGGGGAAAATAAACCCATTCATAACATCATCCTTAGGGTGATTTATTTTTTTTAAATTCCATCTAGAAATAATGAGAAAATAATAAAATACAATTTTTTTTTATGAGATTAAAAGTAACGGAATGAAAAAATCTATTTTGTGTGTAAACAACGACTGCGAAAACAAGGAAAACAAAAATCACAAAATAATAACGAATAAGAATAGAGAAGTGTTTTTGCAAGCATAACGGAGGGGGAGTAAAGACATCTACACAAAATGGTTGGTCATAAAGTGGGGGATCAGTTTATTGTTTTTTTTTTTTTTACTCCATTCGAGCTATAAACAGAATCCGTATAAAGCGAAGACAGAATTTCAAAATTTATGAGATATTTTGCCACAAGCCGTGATATTCTAGAACATGCATATCGATCGGTCTTTTATATGCGTAAAATGGATAAAATATAAAATAGAGAACCCCGATTTTAAGACCACCCAAACCCAGGTAGAGGTACCTAAGTTGTTTTAGTGGTGAGACTAGTAAAGAGAGTTTAGGGATTTAAGCGATTAGATATAAAGAGAAATCATTACAGAAAATAACACAGCTGGAAAGGTATGAAAAGTGAAAATATTAATGATGATATAATACAAGAAAAATAGTTAATGTTGAATCAATTCGCCATATATTTTCTACACTGCCACTGCTGACAAGAGATGTAGTTTAAGATGGAGGAGGGGGGGCTCAATTGCATATAAAATTGTTTTCCTCTTTTTAAAGCATGAGTTTTACTTTTAATCAAAACTTTTAAAAATAAATAAAAAACGGCATATTCATTTTTGTTTTTATGGGTAGATGGGAAATGATCATTTCTTTACATTTGAAAAGAGAGTAAAGAAGCGGTTCAAGATTTTGGTTTCTGTCAGCTTTTTAAAAAGGGTCCTAGGCGCCTATCACAGAACCAAAAACAGCGCGCTAAATATACGTAAAATGACCCCAAAATGATAGCTATATTTTTCATAGTTTTAACTGAATAAAAATAAGAAAAACGGAATTTCAGTTACACCAGATACAAGGTACAAGTTAAACTGGTTATAAAACTTTTTTTTAAAGTACTACAGCAGCAAATAGAAATAGTAGTAGTAATAATAGTGTCGAGCCACCCAAGCCAGTGTGTTTGTGTCTTTACAACTACACAATATAGGGAGGGGGAGCTAAATTGACGGCATCATAGAGAGGAAGGGGAGGAGAAGAGAACTGGCAACCGTTTAAGGTAGATATTATATATATATATATTATATATATATATATATATATATATATATATATATATATATATATAACATACACTTACAATTTTGGATGCTTCCGACCAAGATCGACCTTTCTTTTTCTTCGATTGCTTATCTCTTGAATTCTCCGTTTGCATTGCGGTCGTCGAAACATCACCCTGAGGGGTGTGTTAGCGGACAATAACTCCTTTCCATGGCTCACAACTTCTGACAGCAAGCGCCATTTTGAGACAATAAGGTCAGGTGTCCCCGGCAAGGATGTTCGGGATTTTCCGCCACAACTTCGGCACTGGTCGGTTCTTGACTTTTATTCACGTCAATAAAAACTGGCTCCAGGCCAACATGTAATGTTCAAATACAAAGTCTAATGATAAAGTTATTTCATTTATTTATTTAAATAGCTTATAAAAGTTTTAATAAATTAAATTAACAGAATGTACACGCTGGTATTATGTATTGGTTGCTAATATTTTGAACAACGAAGTAAATAATACAAACGTTTTTTTTAACATGAACTGGTAGTAGCAAAAGTCAACAAATCCTTTTTTTTGTTTTAGTTTTTAGAGTTTTCTGAAATTGATAAGAGGTTAAAACAATTAAAAACTAAAAATGAATTAATTTTAAACGAATTTAAAACTACTGAATACACCTTATAACTTGTAAATTAAATATATCCATATGATCATCATAAGTCAAATTACTACTGAAGTTATATGGCTCTTTTATTCAGTCCATATTTTGTTAGTAAACAAAATTAAGACGGGAAAGTTTCAAATTTTCTTAAGTAAATATTTATTATAATTCCAGAATTTACTGTCAGATAAACCACAGTAAATCAAGTGAGATTCTTTAAACAGGTAGTACATAGCTACAATGATTAGGCAACAGTTTATCCTTCGGAAGATTTAATTCACTAAAACACCAAAAAATTCCTAGTTTTTGTATTACCTTTAAAAATGCTTGTAGAGTTGTTTCTAACTTTACACATTGTGCATAATTACTAAAAAAAAATTCTAAAATACAGTAAGTGGATGCATTATTAACTTATTTGTATCTAACTACAATTCTACATAAATGTATTGTAATATATAATAATTTCAGTATTTTTACATTCCCCAAAATTCAATGAACTTGTCACATGTTGTCTTACTACTCACAGATGTTCAAGATTCTTATGAAAAAAATTATCTATGAAAATAAGTAAACAACGTCCAAGACGTAAATTTTATCAATGTTGGAGCATAATTAAAGAAAATTTCTATTGCTTTATCCAATGTAAAGAAAAAGAATATTTAATTTAAAATAATTTACAAATTTTTAGAGTAATAAATTGCATAAAAAGTTATAGTAAATCAAAAATAGTTTTAGAAAGAAGAATGACAGGAGGAAAGAAATTTTTTTTTCAATAGTTTTTAAACGTCTTACATTATTTTTTTTTTCATTAAGCTAAGCATAATACTATCAAAAATGGATAAGGTACCTTTAAATATTTCACATTATCTCTTTTTCTGTATATACAACTTTATATTAAATTATTTATAAATTTATATTTTATATTATGGGATACCAATAAATTTTTATATATCAAGAACAATTTGTAGGGAAAGATGTATGACAAAGTGGAAAAAAGTTTTTGTGTAACATGTTTCATCCTTTAAGATGTCATTGGACTAAATTTTTTATGTTGCTGTGACTATACATGCACATGAACAAAAGATACTGGGAATTCTAAATTTTTTTTTTTTTTCTGTGTGTTTTGAGTATATAACCTAGCTGATTGCATTTTGATTTTTTCTCTTTTTGTCTCCATCACTTTTGTTATTAGATATCCCACATTGTGATATATAAATTTATAGTATTTGCATTAGTCGGACTATTGTCCTCATCTTTGTCGCCATATTTTTTAACGTTGCCATACGATTCTTCTTCAGGTGGTTGGAATTTTGAACTGAACCCTTTATTTTGATCCTGGGGTAGACTGTTCTAGTTCCAAAATTATATGTTTGATGGATGGAATTTTTCAACTCTCCTGCTAATTTTCCCTCTGAAAGTTCTCCACTGATAACTGACATCCATCAAACATGGCCATGGTTTAGAAACAGTCTACCCCAGTGAGCTTAAATAAAGGGTTCAGTTGAAATTCCAACCACCTGAAGAAGGCTGGAGCATACAACGGCCGAAACATTGTGACAATATGACAACAAAGATGAGGACAATAGTCCGACTAATGTAAATACTGTACATAATACCTCATCTCAGAAATATAGACATATAAATTTATATCATATAATAAATTTGTATACCAGCACAAAGTTGGGTAATTGAATAACAAAATGGAAAAATTCTATGTAACATGTTTCAACCTTTAAAATGATTTCTAAAATAATGTTCTTATAGATGAAATTTAATATACGTGGGGAAGAAAAATGTTAGACACTAAATTTTAAAATTTTAGACACTAAATTTTAAAATTTTTGCATCTGAGAATTCTAGATATGCAGCTTATCCAATCATATTCAGTCTTCTAATACTTTTGTTTTTATTTTTTATTGCAGTTGTTTTTAGATATACTACACTGCGGCAACAGATTTAAAAAAGGGAAAATGTTGTAAAAACTTTGATGCAAACTTACTGATGAAGGCTCAGAAATCCATGTACTTTTTATATACTTTTGCTTTAGTAAATTACTCTTTTAATTGAAGCAGTTATTGCTGTTATATATTTACAATAGTTATAAGTTCAATACAACATTAAAGATTTATTTCCTACACAAATTTTGAAGTTTGAGATTTCCTTCTCACAAATGAATTGACAATAATTCTTGTTAGCAACTGAAGTGAACGCTTTTCAATTTTTAGTACAATGATGAAATTACTAAAGCACCACATAAAATATTTGAGAAACAATTTTTAAAGGTTAATGAATGTATCTGATAAAAAAATATAGAAATGTTATTTGTTTGTAACTTACTTATTTATATTTTTTATTTAAAAATTTTAAAAGGACCATGGGTATATATTTTATAACCTGTCACAGACCACATGATCTTTAAAAAATTACCACAACTGTGAGTTTAGTAAATACATAGAATTTTAATTAAAATAATGTATATATTGTTCCTATATACATATGGATTAAATTCAACAAATGTTTAAAAAAACCATAGAATTCTAATATTGCAACAATATATTACAACACATGAAAATCACTCCAATTTATTTATAATACTTGATGTATAAGGTGACATTCCACTCTCAAGCAATTATTGGCAATCAGTTATTTGGTCATTATCATACTGGTCTTTTTTTATTTACTAAGCTTGTTTATTACATCATAAGGTCAAATCAGAGGAAATCAAGTAAGTTAATCCTCTTTGTACCAAGTGGCACTTGAGGTGATAACAAGAGAAAGTCACTTCTGTCTGCCAGCAGCTGCATTTGGAGCCATTCACAGGGTTAGGCCATGACTTCTTAGTTATCATTCTACTCCAGGTCCCTTTGGGTCTGCCACAGTAGATTAGAGAAAACAAGATTATAAAGATGTTTTTACACCAAACTTCCAAATGCTTACCTTGAAATTTTACTTGGACACCAAAAATTTGTACCACTAGAAAATACACAACTCTTAAGTCATTAAGCTTAGCTTAAGGCAGCATTAAGATTCAGGCACATTATGAGAATTTCTTTAATAAGTTTAGTTTAGTTTACAGCCACAGTAGTGATGTAGTCAAAGTGGATCGAACTCTCAAAAGCTGCAATACTAGCTTACTCATCATAACTCTGCAGTTGCTCTTACAAGGATTTTTAAGTTTAAAAAAAAAGTTTCCGATATTACTCCCCTTGAAAGTTTTTTTATTCCGATTTAATTTCTTTAAAATTCTTTTCATAAGAAATATTTACAGTGGAAATTGACGAATTAAAAAAATTATATGATCCCTAATTTGAGTAATACTCACATATTTTATTCCAAAATGGAAACAAAAATATTCTAAAACGAGATAATGAAGGAGTTATTCCCCTTAAAACTTAATGCTTGTATTAAAAGATATTTAACAAGCTTGAATTTCTCAGAATGTGATAAAACATTATAAATATTACGAATATATGTCAAGATGTAGAATTCCAGAAATGCAATCCAAGTTTTGAGTTGTTTGAAAAATATTTAAGTAACATGTAATATATTGTGACATTATTTACTTCAAATCACAGCTCTTTAAAAACAAAAGTAGAGAAAAATAAAATAAATTGTGGTAATGAATATTATAAATTCAGAATACACTTGATTTCACATCTTTTACTGCTTCACAAATTTGAAATTTACTGATTATCTACTTAAATTTCAAATCACTGAAGAAAATCCAGTCTATTCTAGGTAAAGATGATAATTTTATTAATCTTACTTTCAGAATAATTTATTTTGAGAGATTATGTTTCTCAAATCTTTTCCCTGTGTTAAGAAATACAAATACTTTTTCTATAACTAATTTTAACAATGATAGACTTAAATATTAAAATGCTTGTAACATCAATTTCACATTTAACACAGTACATTTTAACATCTGAATTCTTCATGTAATATATAGCTGTTTGTTTTAATACAAATACCTGTCAATACAAATATGGATTTTATCTCTCACTCTTGTGCAGAGAGTCTCAGTTTCTAAAGAGCAGTACCTGGGAATATAAATGTAAGTTTACTTTTAAAGTTTGAATATTGCTTTGTCCTGTTACAAATATTATTTAAAAGTGTCTATAGTAAAAAGACCTATATCACATGAGAATGAAGATAAAAACCAATAAGCAATTTCATATTATTATAACCAATGGAAATAAGACAGCATTTCATTTTTCTGTGAAGATACATTCACAATTTGAGACATCTTAATTGGTTTCATATGTATAATTATCAAATTTTAGGCAAAAAAAAAAAAAAAATAAATAAATAAATAACTTGGTCTGAAATTTAATCTTTCTACAAAAATTATATATAATTTTTTTTATTTATATATATATATAAATAAAATGAGTGGAGTAATGGATAGAGGCTTGGATTGAGGAATCACAGAGCCGAGTTCGAATTCCAGTCAAATCCATTACATTCACTTACATGCTAATACCCTTGGGAAAGGTATGAATCA